AGTTCGGAATTCGATGGACTCTAGTGATTTATCTGCTTTTCAAACAAATGAAGTATAAGGTGAATGGGAATTTTGTACGTAATCAAGGTGATTCCGCAAATCAAACTGTTTTTGGATTGTTTTACAACTCGATAAAAAAATAACTTATGTATCATCGATATCAGATCGTACCTTTTCACGGCCAGTGCATGATGTTATGCTTTCAAAAGCGTGCGCTTCATTTGCGGATACGATTTGGAACATGTGAAATTACGGAACGTTTTGTTACGAGTTGGAAGATGTGCTGAATAATGGGTTGAAAACAGGTATTCTACTAGCGATGTGATTGTTCGGTGCTTTAAAGGATGAATTGAGCTGCGCTGAGAAAATGGATCATTCATGTGTGTGTTCGAATGAAATGGTGATTGATGACGAGGAGACATCTGAAAACAACGCGAATAATGCAGAAGAACGAAGAGAAGTGGATGGTAGTGTTGATGCAGCACAACAACAAGCCACTTGCGTAGAGCATGCGGGTCTTGTGCACGACCGTGAACGATCACAGTTGCAAAGTGGTTCGTTCTCATATCTTAGTCGCTCGCTCACTCATACTATCACATTTTTTTGCATTCTGTCAGTTGGATCAGAACTATTGATTGGGACATTTTTCTAGCAACTCCTAAAACAGCATCCAGCTAAACGCAAGCAATAAATTCGAAACATTATCATGAACATGTACTATCTTCTTTGCAGCTGAATCCACGAACATTGCCCTTGAACATTGCTATCAACAGGCCAGTTCAAAACCTGTACCAGAAACTGATTATTCGGTATATGGTTTATTCATTTGGTTTATCCTATTGTTCGTATGAAGTGATCTTTTTTAACCATTAAAATTGTGAATATTTTTGTGTTTTGTTCTCTCTATTAAGAAGCAGTGTTAATGGTGGATAGTTTCAGAGTTGGATGTGGGAATTTAAACAAAAATTGATGAAGCGTTTGAGTGTGGTCCCGTTGGATCGTATTGCTGAAGTACATCAAATGATACGCTATGAGATTGATTCATTGTATGCCGAACAGATTGCCAAAGATGTTGAGGAACGATTCAAAGAGGGAACCAGAGAAGTTGTTGAGGATCGTGTGCTGAATCTGTTGAACTGATATATTCTTCGTTCTCATTCATTGCTATTTTGTTTGCGTTACGTTGATTACTTCACAGTTCTAAAATCTAAATCCAAATAACTTATTCTCACGTAAAGAAAGTCTTTCGCTTGGTTCAAATGCAAGCATTCGGTTTTTTTTATTACTATCGTCTCCCATCTGAGAATTATAATCTGAAGCGTTCAGGTTGTTAATTTTTCGATATTATTTTTAGTTTCGCCATTTTCAGAATTATTATTTTCATGCTATCATCATATTGCCGTTATCTTTCCAGTGTTAATCTGATCATTTCCAGTAATATTTCTAAGTGAGTATCGCAATTCAGCTGACCTATTTTTTGCATCGATTGGAACAACGCGATTGCTTATTGTATTATTTCTGCAGTGTTGCTATAAGCAAGTTCACAATTCACAATCCGTGCATTACGAATGCACGTATCGTTTTGTCATTTTTAGAATATTCTATTTTCACCACATTTTCATGCAACAAATCAAAAACTTCTGCGTTATTTACATCCTCATATGCTTCATATAGTACTCATTGAATTGTTTTGTTAAATGGGTAATTAATTCGACATTTTCACTGCGTAAATTATCTTTTATGTTGCTATGGCTATGCGATTAAGTCACCAGTTTATCGCACATTTTAGGTGGTTATCATGTTCAGCATCATTTTCGTAACCAATTTTTATCATGTTTTCCGTTGATATCATTTGTAATTTAAAGGAATATCTTCACCAAACTTATTTCTTTCACTGAGGTTATTTGAATTTCGTCTACTTCAATATCGTTGTTCAGAAATTGCACAAAGGTTTATCAAGGGGATCGGTTCATTGTGGACAATATTCCAGTATATTGTATAACCGTTCAACGTCATCTGTTATCGTCATTGAAAATTCTGTTGTGTTTTGAATTGCTGTCTATCAACTACTACTGTTAAACTATCGTTCTTATAGTGCATTGCGTCATAGTAAAGCTCAATTTGGTCATGCAAGTCGAGGAGTAGAACGAGGCACCGCTCCCGTCAGATGCATTAACCGTGGGCGCGGCTAGTCACCGAAGCCACTTAACATCGGAGGTATTACCCCCGTTGCTTCACTTAACTACGTGACAGTGCAACACAATGCCAATACAGTGGGGCAAAAATCGTGTCGAGAAACAAATACACTTTAAAAAATATTGGGTTGCAATATTCTTGTAAAGATTCTCAACTCAATATTCAATTTAAAATTTCTTATCTCAACATGATTCTTTATTCTATGTCAATTCTAAAATATCGGTAAATTTCTATTTTCTTTTGGTAAAATTTCTTTTTTCTCCCATCCCTTCGTCCTTTTTTTAAAATTGAAGGATACAGAATTTCGAAGGAACGTTTTGAGGTAATATCTCACCCGTCCTTCAGATCCAACCGTACAATATCAGGTAGTTGATTCGCTGGAGTGCCTACTGAATGAGCATCGAAATGTTTACGGAATGTTTCATTTTGTCTATTTTATTGAATGTGATTGGAGTTGTAATTATGAAATCGGAGGAATATAATACTATCATGTTTGTTTTCATACGTACGATACTCATTGGTTTTTTACCAGTTTTGTATGTATACAATTGAATTAACTCGTGATGGTTTATGGAATCAAAATTAACTTATGACTTATGAATTAACCTATGAAATCAAAAGGATTTTGTGTACATAATATGAAAATGCTGCTGTAAATAATCATGTTGAGTAATTTTTTGTAATAAAGATGAATATTAAAAACTGATGTTGTGTTCACATGGAAAGTTTCAACGAAATAAAATATTTTGCTTTTGAGAGAGATCGCTTCTACGTTTATTTAATTATTCGCTCACTAACCACTAACCAACTGATAGTGGCTAACAAGTGAGTAGTCGAAGAACCGAAGAAGACTTGAAATTAATAAAAAGTTGATCCACGAAAGCAATTTCAATGTTCCGGACAGCATAAAAAATTCCGTAAACCTGGACCTGTGAGGCATATTAAAGAATGAAACGTGATGCCAGCATTCGAAGTTCGACATCACATTAATTCGTTCCGAGAGCCGAGCGATGCTCAAAAAACCGCTCGTTTATTTAATGGCAAAAATTTTGCGGATTCGAAGTCTTCGGGAATATGCAACCGAAAAATGCCAAAAATCATTGATACTGCGCGGAGTTGAACCTGGGGCTCCCAGTGCAATCGAACAATCGTATGGAACAAGTGCACCATTGACCTTAACCGCCCTTCTCGAAGTATTTCTCTCACTTTAGTAAATGCAATAATTTTGAATTTTTTGTAATCCACTCATCAGTCCGAATCGACTGGTACCAAAATTGTTGGAAAATGAGCAAAAAAATTTTCCTCCAAAAACTTCACAAAAATCCTGACCATGCATACACCTACGACTTACAAATCCGCTTTTTCCAGATACTGCTGGTGTTCCTATGGGCTGCTGCGTGGAGCGACCAGAGTTTTCAAATGCTCCTAACAAAGCGTACAACTTCTATAGACCAGATCGAGCAGAATCTCTGCTTTCTGAAAATGA